TTCTTATGACTCAATTATTTGGGAATTACGAAACTTAAAATCTAGATTTATTTTCGCAAAGATCTTCAATTACGAATCGTGGAATTGGAAGCTCGACTTGCAAAAAGGTAACCTTCCATCTAATAAGAATAATAAAATTCCGATTTAATAATCTAATAATCTTCAAACAGCGACAAGAGAATCGCGGATCTCTCGAAATTAGTGACACGTCTCAACCAGTTTCGACAAAACGTGTTAGACTCGTTGGAAGAAAATGATCTTTCGGACTTCAATAATGCACGAGTAAGTAAATACATATATAATTAGTAAAAACAAAAAAAGATACGTAATCTCATTCATCTTGTTATCAATTTTATATAAAAAGCAGCAACGGAAGGAAGCTGCTGCTGCGACTACATCACAAATTCTATTAGACGACGAAACGGAGTATTATGAGGATGAATTTACCACTGCTAATGCGGCGGCTGTTGGTGGTGGCACCGTTGCCGGTGGTGCGGAAAATCGCCATATTTTTGATATGAGTGAATTTGAAGTGAGAATGAATTTAATTTATTGGTTCTTTTGTTCGTTCTTTATTTTGTTGTTTAATATTTCGTAAAGGAATTCAGTGATTCCAGATCTGTTAGTCCCGCCACAGGAGATATGGACGATTTAAGTAGGTATTTGTTTTGGTTAATATTCTTGCGATCATCACGTAATATATTTAATACGAAATAATAATAAAAATGTTAATAGGAAATCCATTTAAAAGATATAAATCTAATATTCTCGCTTACCATGCAAGAATGCCAGTTACACGCGTTACGGAAAGGTAAAAACTATCAAAAGCTGTATTTCTCTTAAAAGTTTAATTGATTTTTCTTTAATAGTTCGACGATACCTACAACGACATCCACAAGCACAACAGTATCAACCTCGACAACAGCTTCTTCAACCCCAAAATCAAAATATTATGAACCAGCAGCAGCAGCAACTGCAACTACTTCAGCATTGTCAACACCAATAATAAAATCTCAACAACAAGCTCGATCGAATGCACCAGCCTCATCACCATCTTCAGGAGGAATTCGTGAAATTACGGGTGGTATCGCTGGTCTCGGTGTTGGTGCAGGTACAAATGTTACAGGTAGTGGACAACGAAAAAAGAATGTGACATTTGCATCTGAACGAAAAAAATGGAAGAGCAGTAATATTGGTGGGATTTCAAGTGTGCTTACAGAAGAACAACATTACGATGAAGAATTAATGGAACGGCAAAAACAAACAATACAACAACAAGACGAGATAACTCAACAACAGACACAACCACCACCACCACTCCCACCACCTTCACAATCATTACATCAAACAACAGAACAAACGCAATCTTCTAATAACACAGTGGACGGTCGTGAATTCTTTAGAAGAGCACGCGGATTACTGACCAATGAAGAAGTGAGTCATCATCAATCGCTGAGTTTGCCATTAAAATACATTAATTATAAACTCCATATTTTGGCAGTTTAATTCCCTATTATCAAATGTTAAAGGTAGATTTTTATTCAAAGCTTTCGAGGTTTATTATTCTACATTTTAAAAGATAATAAACCCGCATTTCGATTTGCTTTGATACTATAAAATAGCATACAATAATCGTCAACAATCACGTCGACAAACTTTGGACAATATTCGCGGATTGCTTGGAACTCGACATCGTGAGCTATATGAGCAATTTGTAAAATTATGGGATTCATAGGAAGACTCGTGCACCGATTCATTTACTGTTGTACGAATATTATGGGAAAATAATTTGACGTTGATTTCAACCTTACCTTATAACGATAAAAGGTGCCATTTGATTATAGCCTTTCATAATGACGTCGTAAGTTGTTAATTTGTTGTAAACTAACTACTTAATGTAGTTGCAAAAGCCTTTAACTTTTTCTCTTTTAATCTTTGATTTTTCATTAAATAACTCTTCGCGAGACTGTCCGGCTTTTCTCTGCGATTTTTTAATAATTGAAAAAAAAACCAAACAACAAAAATGACAAACCTCGGTATCATCTACAAAAAGCTTCCCAATCGCGGTCTTCCCTCAAAAACAGAACATTTTGAAATAGTTCATCGAAATATTGATATCCAAAATTATGAACTATCCGATGGCGACATACTTGGTCAAAAATCTATACTTGTCCGTGGATCCGTACATGCGTGGTCGTATGCGCGATCCCAGCGTTCGAAGTTGGAGGGCAGTGATATCTCGGAAGTTATTAAATCTAAATCTGACAGATATAAAGTTGGCGATTTGATTTATGCAATGATTGGTGTGTCATTTTTATTTCTTGTAAAATAATATCAAATAATTTCTACTGAACGATATTTGAGAATTTATCTTTTCGAATAGGATGGGAGCAATATACCCATATTCCTGTTTCGAAAATCGCTACAAATCATACTATTTTTTGTATATTACCCAGCTCACGAAAACTCCCACTAAGTTATTATGTTGGTGTACTCGGCATAATAGGACTGACCGCCTATGTCGGACTTAAAGGAATTGGGAAGTCCAAAGCTGGGGAAACTATTTACATTTCGGTAATTATTTTTTTTAAATTGGTATGAGGGAGAATAGGAATTCTTATTTTAATACTTTACAACAGTAGGATCAATAGTTGGACAAATTGCCAAACTTGAAGGATTGAGCAGCTTTTAATTATAAGTTAATCCGGATCAGGTAAGAACGGTTTTTTTTTTACTTTTGCAAAATGAATAATTTTATTTTTTTATTCTCATACAAATATATAAATGTAGAACTTGTTCTAACGGAATTGACATTTACTTTGAAAATGTCGGGTAAACTATTTTATTTTATATATATAAGTAAAATGATCAATTTTACGACTAGCTCATACTGTCAATCCGAAAAAAAAAAGCGGCGAAAACCTCGACATCGTAATGAACCATCTAACACATTCGCATGAATTCCCGTCTGCGGAATGGTCTCATAATACAACAACGAACCCGAACCTTACGGCGTAAAAAATCTCATGCAAGTAATCGTCAGAAAACTCTTGCTCCAGGGGTTCCTCGTATTCGATCACTTTCAAAAATATAACGCAGACTTTATTCAAAAGATATCCAAATGGTTATCTGAAGGAAAAATTCGATATCGTAAGACTGTTACCGAGGGAATTGAGGATGCACCGGATGCGTTTCTGGGGCATGTTGCAGGGAGAGAATCTTGGAAAGGCTGTGGGAAAGATTGCGTGATTGTGATTTTTATTTTTGAGATATAATGTATGTCGGTATGTGTTAGTTTCTTCATTTCTTTGTGTCCGATTGAAATGTTATAAATAAAAAAAATACATGTATAGCAAATATATCTTTTAATATCGTCCTTATTATTAAACCGAAAAATTAAAATAAAATCCGAAAAAGTCATTTTATTCTCGCTCTTGTCTTTAAGTGTGTTCAAGTATTCTGTGAAATGTGCTTTCGATATGAGAAATTCATTTTTAAAAATGAACAGTTCTGTTAACATTTAAAGTACAGATCCGCTTGGAGATGTAATGATTAGGAAACCAGATACCTTATTTTGTGACAAATATGGGTAAGTTTTCAAACGAAATAATATGGGATTCTTATTTTCTATTTTTTGCATAATAATAAATTAAAAGTAAAATATCTTTTCTCACAGATTTCACAAAGTAGGGCAAAATACAGTCAACTCTCCTTAAATGCTACCTCTCGAAATGCAAGTTTTCTCTAAATGCAAGCTTTTGCTTGTCCCAAATCATAAGACCTTTATATATTTGACTCACCATAAATGCAATTCTTCTAATCCTCTAAATGCAAGTTATAGCTTTGTGGTTCCAACAGATTGCATTTAAGGAGCGTTGACTGTACTTTGCAGAATCAGGCGAGAAATGGATCGGTAAATATGGAAACT